CTGCAAAACATGAGCATATGGCTGGATGTGTCCATATGTCTCACTGAGGCTCATAACCGAGTCAAAACCACAAGAGAAGTAAACAAACATCACTGCAGACACACGCACATGAAGGCAGGCAGAGCGTAAATAAGTGGGGCGGCGGTAGCCCAGAGGTGAAGGACAGGATGTAGGGGGGCGTGCATGCATACTGCAGAGGTATGTTCCAGCTGCAGCGAGAAGCTGATGTGTCTGAGAGGCAGCTGCTGGTGTTAATCTATGTAACCATGTGAAAAACAACCAGAGGGGCTTAGAGGATATTTAACTCAGTCACTTTTAGACTTTTTATACCAAATACAAAAACCTGACAGATTAAATGAGAACATGAACTCTGCAAGCTCCAGATGTCCAACTGTCCTCTTTAAAGGAAAAGTCCGGTCAGCAAGGAATAATAAATGGATCATTATCTATACCAAAAACAAATACGTTCACTGTGATTTATTGAATTTAGATTTAATCATTAAAAAAATTTGAAATAATAATTTTCATTGTGATCACTGAGTCCAGGACCGGCTATAGTCACAGTGCGGTAAGCCTAGCGCCATTCTCCCCGCTTTACAAGCAAAATCAATCGGAACTACTAGACACATCTGCAAACAGCAACAATTATTTAAGATTTCCAGAGGACTTCACCATTGAAATTCACCAGAGCTATAGTTAAACTGACAATGCCCACCTGCATGGGAATTGGATGTTGCAATACATCGGGTAAAAGTGAATTTTTTTTCACTTATTTCACCTTTCCGATTCATTAGATTAGATTAGATGAGCTTTATTGATCTCACAGCGGAGAAATTCAGTCGTCACATATTGCCATGATAGTTAAAGAAGGTGCAAACAAGGAGGAAAAAGGTGCATAAGAAGAATAAACAATATATATATATATATATATATATATATATATATACAGTATATCCAGGTATATACAGTATATCAAGATAAATAAGGATTAAGGTGCATTACATGTATTGCACACAATGAATAGCAAAATACAATAAAAATAAGTGATAAAAAATAAAAAAGATTAAAAAAAATACAAGGTAGTAGCACAGAGTTTTGAGGTGTCATATGTACAATCTGGATGGCTTATATACAGGTGGATTTACTTTAACGTTAAAGTGTAGTAGGTAAGGAACAACGATGAGGTAGTGGTATGACTATGCTATTCACATCTATTGCACATTCAGCATAGTGCAAAGAATATTGGACAGTCAATAAATAAAAAACTATAATATATATTCATGATCCACCACGGGTTGGTTGTTGGATCGCCAACTTGAAGAGGTAGGATCTGCCATTGAACTTCTGGCCAGAGTAAAAACACGTAATATGTGGGCAACATTTCGAAGAAGAATGTTTTCAAGATGACTTGGATAATAGAGCGTCGTGACAAACACCAGATACAGCACTGGGACTTGATCAACAGCCGATACCGCACCGTGACGTCACAAAACGGTAGATAGCAGTAGTGTTCTTTGACAAACATGGAGGCCTCCAGTAAAGCGCATTCAAATGAAATAACTCTTAATTAAAAATACTTATCATTTATTGAACAGAATGTAATAATTTCACATTTAAAACACTTTCAGAAGTTCTGAATATGACCAGACTTTTCTGTTAAAGCCTCAGTTGGAAAATCTGCCATTGAACCAGAATCCATTGTCATTAGAACAGTTTCATGACTGATCGACCTTCAGTGACCAAAGGCACTAAAGCGGAAAAGGTTTCAAATTTTTACGTTTTTTAAATCTCTAATCTGGATATTGAAAGAGGCATTATTTTTAAATCAAATTTGTGGAAAAGGAGAAGCGCATATCAAAAGCTGCAGTGTGCCATAATGTAATTTTTTTAAAATAAGTATATTATCAGTGAGCTGAAACAATCTTTACGTCTGCGTTCCTTAGAAATTGCTATTTATTATATAGAGGCAGGTCTCGCATTTATGGAGGCAGACATCTTTGCTGTATGGCAGCTCACAGCTAACAAACTAGTAACTACAAAGAACGCAATTACGCTCAAAAAGGACTGCAGCAAGTTAGGCCTGTGGAAAATCTATATTCTATAGATTAATAAAATTATCTATGCAAACAAGTATCGACATCCCTTGGTTAGATGGGTGATGCGGATGTTGCGGCAGCCATTTTGTGCCATAATGGCCTCTGTGCAGTCTGAAAAGATGTTGCTGAAAATTACATATTTTAGCTTTAAGTCTAATCTACTAGAGTAAATAAAGCTCTTTAATTAAGAGAAAAATAACATAAGACTACATTTGAATGAAAACTAAAACAATTTTAAGCAGCTTGTTTTAAAATTCATGTATAAAACACATTCTACCCAACCTAGTGAGTATGAAAAAACATTGTTTCCACCATCCTTACGTTATTGTAGCTGGGACTATGAATTTTTGGACATATGTGGTAAAATTATTGTATCTGAATTCCAGAAAAGGTAAAAAAAAACAACAATCCACTGGACATTGTTTCCAACTTTCAAGACGTTTCGCTTTCCATCCAGGAAGCTTTTTCATTTCAAAATATCAGAATTAGCATTAAGTTTAAAGCTTTATATAGTAGCCCGAAAACTTGTTTTGGCTTAGAAAACATGCAAATTGAACCAAAAGAAGGTCCGACTCCGCCCCCTAGGAAAGGGGAGTCGTTCGGGTTCTTAGTTAGCGTACAATACTCGATACTAGTCTATGACTCTAAAAGGGTGGTCGTTAGGGACAATTGTTAGCCTGGCTGCCCAGGTGAGATGTTTTGTCCCCTGCATGGGAGCGGGGGGTGAAAGTAATAGCGGGAAGGAATCAACTCTATCGCTGCATTGTAGGTTTTTGAAGGCTTAAACCCGAGTCCACCCCCTTATCAAAAATGGCTTCCTTTACCCCCCTTTCAAACCACCTGTCTCCTTTGCCCAAAATGTGAATATTCTGGGCCTCAAATGTAGCATTTTATCTGAATACCATATTAAAATATTTTCAAAATTAATCATAAAATAAAACTCCAGGATCTGTTCTATACACATGAAATTCCTGAACATTGTGAACATCTTAAATGGTTTCTAAACACTTATTTTACTACAAAAAAATAAAATCCCACTTAGTTAACTTATTTCCAGTTTTCCGTAGCATTTTGTGTAATTAGTCTATCCAGTGAACTTTTGACATTTTCTACCAGGTTTTGGACTCTGGGCTTTTGGGCACCTCACTAAACCATGGGCTAATCACCTCTGTGTAGCATAGGGGAAGGAATTAATGGAAAATTAACAAAAAAGCAAACTAAAAGAGTTTTTAGAGAGCTAAAAGATCCATGTGAATTTTAGCTTTTATTGGCTATAATCCTCAAAATGCAGAGATATGATTGAAATTGATTCCACTAGAGCTCAATTATAAATAAAAAAACAAACAGCCAGAAACTTCTGAAAAGTTATTCTTTTATTTATATTTTACAATCCTTTTATCATGGTTATGTCAATATTTACTTTTTCCACACTTTGAAAGTGTCATTATTTCATGCTGTCTGACGACAACAACAACAAACAGAGAAACAAAAATGAACAAAACAAAAAGGAGAAGTTTAAAGAATGAGAGTCTATTCAACACTTTTTGACAAGAAGCAGAGAGAGAGATTCACATTTGGGCTCGAGCTCTCATCCCGTCCACTCGTCAAAAATCAGTAAACAAAAGAGGTTTAAAAGCAGGACTGTCAGTCAAGTGAACAGGTGTCGGGGTTTTGTGTCTGGTCTTCTAGTTTTGGCTTTTAAAAATGACCCAAACTCCCGTCCAGAAGAAAGCGAACTTTAAAAAGTTTCCCGGTTATTTTTCTCTTCGATCCTTAAAACGATTTTCTTACTTCGGGACAAAGAAAATGTAATAAACAATCTACCACAAGGAATACAAAATAAAACAATGGTTTCTCTTTCAACAGCTGCTCCAAACATTGGAGAATATTTGTTTTGTTTGTCTATTTTTTATTTCAATAAAAAAAAAAAGTTTATTTCTTGAAATGAAAAAGGGAGTACAAATACAAGCAAATGCTTCCCAAATGAGGCCCTAATGAAAACGGATGTACTGCTGCTGAAAGGTTACTTGCTTGTTGTGCTGGCTGATACATTTCCTCAAAAAAAAATCGGTCGACTGAATACTTCCTGAGAAATAAAGGAAATATCTACCTGGCATGAAGAGGACGAGAGGAGCAGTGTGACAGAGAAAGAGGGAATTGGACTAAAAGGAGCCGGAGGACAGAGTGTCGGGGATGTATCATGAGGGAGAGTTTATTTTCAATTAAAATGGATGGATCAGAGTGTAAACATGAAACCTGTAGGACAGAGGAGGAGTGGGCAGCACTGCTGGTGTTTGTGCTCTTTGGCACAGAGAAGAGGAAGAGGAGGAGGAGGAGGAGGAAGGGAGCCGGGCTTGTATGAGCAAAGCAAATCTGGCTGCTGATAACATCCAACACCTGCACCGCTCTTCACACCTGGAGCTTTTAGGCTGAATATGATCTAGTCCAGCTAACAGGTTCTCTTTTTGCTGTTTGGAATCATCAGAAAGGAGAAAACATGTCTGAAAATGTTCCAGCAAAGAGGGAAACGTCCCATTTGGCTCTTTACTCACCATTTCCTGATTGGGATTCATAACTAAAGGCTAAAATGTTCCTCCTGAAACCTCTACTGGGTGGAGTTCAGAGCGGAGTGGCTAAAGTCTGCTCTAAATGCAACATCTCAAACCCACAGTCCATCAAGGGAGCTGCAGGTTTACAGCAAAGATGGATTGATTGCTGCTCTGTAAACATGATCACTTTCGCCGAAACACCCACAACAAAATCAGGTGAATAAACCAAACGATGGGGAGAGAAAACAGGGTCTGGGGTTTTAGTCTTTGCATGTAAAAGACGACATACATCTGGGCTCAGCAGCATAAAAAGTTGACTTTTTGGTTCTGATGGATCAGTTTGTCTTCCTGGATCAGTAATGATGCCATTTTTGTTTTATCTGCATTTTATTTATTTATTTTTTTACATTTGAAGCACGTGTGTAGGTTGGATGAAAATCTTTGATTTTGTGTTTTTAATTTTATTAAAGCAGGCGGGTTGCTCTGATTCACCGTCTGACTCCACCAAGAAGAGGAACAAAGGTCTGAGACCAACAAACTCATTTCCAGATAAGTTTATCTGCCTTAAAACTGAAAAAAGTGAGTTAAGTTCAGGAAGGACATTTTTTCTTTCACTGTTTTGTTTCAGAGTCTCCATCCTTCAGTGAATAACTCCACATAAACGGATCCGCCAGAGGAAAGAGACCTGAAGTTTGTTCTATTTCTGTCAGACGGTTTGGCGGCTGTGACGTAACGCTGCCCACCACCTAACAGTCGGCTACCGGCAACTCTCCACCACAGGCCTGACGGAAGTAAAGCAGGGCAGGATAAATTTGGACCTCACAAAATGCTCTTTGGGCTTTTAAAAAGGAACACGACCAGGCGAGCGAGCGAGGCCTGTGGTGCCACCTACCATAAGTGGTTCCCCGCACCGGAGCGGCGCTGAGAATAACGGAAAGGTGAAGGCAGGTTGTTAAAGCAAAAACAAACACTCAGGGGAGCAACAGGGTGGAACCTCAATGTTTTCTGTTTAAATTTAACAAGTGAGAACCTCTTCAATCACTGATGAGGATGTAAATTCAGATTGTTTGTGGAAAATGGTTTGTTATTGTGGTTAAGTTGCTCATTCTGATCCTGCTGTGTAACAGCAGCGCAGCAATCTGCTGCACCTCATGTAGGTGACTTCCTCAGCTGCTTTTAGAACCGAGCATCTGAGGGAATTTAGCTCATTCTGTGATTCACCAAACCTCTCTGGTCCTCATGGGACCGAGGGAGAGTAAAGTCGGCGTTAGAGGATGAAAAAAGCCGAACTGATTACAAAATGTGTTTCATGTCTGACTGCTGATGAAGAAGGCAAATAAAATATGAAAGAGGTATAGAGGAGAAGGAGATGATAGGGTGTGATGGACTGTCAGTGTGAGGATGGTAAGGCAGGGTTGGAGGGTCAGGTGGGAGGAAGGGGGCTAGCAAACCTGGCCGCCCCCCCTTCCTCACCCCGACTCCGGCCCTTCGGTCTCCTTTCCCCAGGAGAGCTGAGGTCAAATCCAGGAATGTCAGCAGGCGCATCACCAGTCTTCATTGGTTTGTTTCTGTTCCTCTCTTTAGTCCCAGCTGTCTGTCCGTCTGTCCGCCGTGTCACTGGAGGTCTCGGTCCTCTAGGTACCGGTACTCAAAGGTAAAGCCCTCTTTTTTCCGCTGGCCCCACTTCTCATAGTCAAAATAAATGTATGTTCCCTAAAGGGAAGAAAACAGTGGGGAAAATATCATGATCTGCACACAGAGTGGTGCTCAACACATCCACACTCTATTACTATCACAACAGACGACACCCAATGGCTTTGCAGAGACACCCAAGGTCAGATATCTCAATTTCCTTCATACTTTAATCTAAATTCATGCTTTTCCAAAGTTCAAAGACTGAGCTAAATGATTAACCAAATTTACTCTGCCTGGTCTTTAATTACCTCATTTGGCTGGTTTTAAGTCCTGTGAGGTTTTCTGATAATGTTTGTCTGATTGTTGACTAATTTACCCTCTGACTGCTGACTGTGACTCCAGACCTACCTGCTCATACTCATCAGTGATGGTCTTGGGCTCTTCGTGCCTCTGAAACCACATCATGTACTTTGTATGGAACCTCCATGACTGCTTCTTCAGGGCCTTGGCTGCGAGATACTGGGCCTTAGTGCCCTGCACAGAGAGGAGGCAAGCAATGAGGGAAAGGATGCTACGAGTTAAGAGTTTATTTTTAGGTAACCCAAGTTTCTCTGCTGTTAATTAAAAAGGTCTGAAAAATCTGAGATGAAGAGAAATTTACTCTGTGGTCCAGGATGTTCTTTAGCTAAATAAAACAAAACAAAAAAGATGGTAATTAGAAGAGGCTTACCTCCAGGTAGTAGAAAATGAAGAACAGCGTTTCTGTGGAAAGCCTCTGGTAAAACTCTACAGTGTCGGAATGGGGCGGAGGCATCTGGTGGTGGAAAGGTGGGGTGGGGCAGGGGTTCCTCATGAGGTACTGCCTGGAGTGGCAACACAACATTAAATCCATCAGGAGGGGAAAGTTTCATCGTTTTTTAACAGATCAGAACAGATTGGAAATAAAAACTGGAATCAAATGACATATTTTAAAATGTGAACATCTTTGAAAACAAAAGAAAACGCTTGTTAAGTACAAAGTCAGGTTAAGTCTGTACCTACAACACTGATGGGGTGAGAAAAAAAATGTAGGAGGAATTAAGAAAGTGTTGGAATCTGTTTGGATGAATCTGGTGATGAAAACTCAGGCTGGATTTGATGTAAAGGTGTTTATTAGCTTTTTTAAACCCTTACTGTTTTCACACCTGATCTGGTGCTGCAGGATTGTTTCTGCTCCTGACAAAGGGCTGCTGTTCAGTCTAATATAGAAATAGTTTTTTTCTTATTAATCAATTTCTTTTCTTTCCCTTTGCTATTTTTCTTTCTGCTCCCTCTTGCCGGTCCTGTTATTCAGTGTTTAAGTTGTTTGTAAAATAAAAAATGTTTCAATAAAGAAAAACAAAACACATTTCTACAAACTGAAATGTTGTTAAATAAATGCTTAGTTACATGAAAGTAGAAGAAACAAAATAAAAAAAAATGATAAAACTAAAACATTTTACAAAAACTATGATAAAATAATTAACTCCATAAATCAGTAAATAAACCCTATGTCCCAATGTGGAGGTACAATGCATCGTTATCTAAGGTTTAATTTAATGTCTGATGTTCTTGGTTCTACAATGCATCATAAAATCATCTTAACTACAAATTCAGTTTTAGAAACAGACGGAAAAAGGTTAATTTTTGCTTCAGTTTTTTTGCTCCCAGTGGCCAGTTTGAAAAAAAACTGTAGTGTTTTATTTTCTAAAATGTTTTTTTCTTCTTTTTTTTGTGCTGATTTCATTGAAACTTCTATTGTTTTACATATTTAGGGGGGTATTTTGTGAATCTGAATGCTTTTATATGCTGATTTGCCTTTAAAAACTGACACACCTGGACGCACTAACACCTGTGGGGAAATATGCTCTGTTCGATGTAAAAGTGCAGATTGGTCACCTGGTGGTGACCCAAGTGAACTGCAGCACATATCTAAATGATCAAAATTAAGGTTCTTGATTTATTTAATTAATTGAATGAATTAATAGAATTTTATTTAATTGAATTTTAAAAAAATATTTATTCTAAATATTATTTTTACATGTTATTCACTACCTGGCAATGTTTGCAATTCCTTCTGCTTTTCCTCCTTTCCAACCACAGATGAATCCCTGTTTGAACTGTAAATATCCCTGCACCAACAATAATGAAGGTAAATTGAAATATATATATTTTTTAATTATTTTTCCAAAATTATTTCTCTTTTTTCACTGAAAATTAAAACACTGTGGAAGCAGAGAAATGTTGAGTTTGAACCTGTAATACCTTTAATAAGTGATAACTGGCTGCTGTGAGCAGTTTACTGCACCTGATTCTCTCCGAGTCGGACGGGTGGGGCATGTGCGTCCACGTCGCTTCCTGCATGGCCTGTTGGTAGAGCTGGTCTTTGGAGAGGGGAACCGGCCCCAGCGGACAGACGCCCAGCGATGGCAGGATGCTGACCTCTGACAGGGAGGACTGAGGTGCTGACGGAGGCCCTGACGGGGCCGTAGTGCTGCTTGGGAAGTTGTCTGAGAACAGATGGAGGAAGAATGAGGGAATAAAAGGGTGGGGGTGGAGGGAACAGGCGATGCAGAAGGAGGAGAAACAACGAGACATAAAGTTGAGTCAGGGGTGATTATATCGGCTGCAGTCTTTGTTCAGAAGAGGATGAGAGTGGGAAGGGAGATGACATTTAGTTCCATTAAATCTGCTGCTCTTCGGTGTGAATCCTACCGGAAGTAAGGTGCAGGGAGGACACGTCTCCCTCGATCCCTGAGCTTGGTGCTGCTCGCTCGGCCATGGATCTGCTCAGAGGCTCCTAAGGATGACGAGGACAGACAAGGACATTCATGAGAACACGGATCTCCTGCATGTCTGTGCCGAGTTGGTTATCATTAACCTCTTCACAGATCAGGTTATCAAAATATGTTTAGATTCAAGTTTTATGGTGTTTTTATTTTACTTTAATTTTCTTATTATGGATGTTTTTGTCCTTTAAATCTAAACATTTCACAGTCTTTCCTTTTTTACTGAATTAGAAACAAAACCATCAGCCCCAAGGCCACAAAACAAGCCCTCATTATCACCCCCCACCCACCATGCTGGACAGTTTGTTGTGATATGATCACTCTGACACCGTTCCTAAAGTGCTGCGGTTCATTTGCAGTCCTTTTATGGAACCTGAAGCTGTGCTTCCATTGCCCACATTTATACAGAAACTCTCCCAGACGAACACGTCTTTCAACCATCATACTGTCCTGTGAGGCCTGTGGAAAGAAATTATGCTTTAACTTGAATAACTATTTCAGGCTGTTCTCGATCAGGGAAATGTAGGTATGTGAATGCAGGAGTGGACACAGATTAGCCAGTGAAGGAGATGAACAGATTTCTGGCTATGATAAATTTAATAGTTTACAGTCACACCGTTAAAATCCCACCATGATCAAACTGGTTTGGCTCCAGTCTGATACCGTTTTCTCACCTTGATGCTTTCAGATGACAGCGAATAGGACAGCGGCCCATTCTGAAGGCTTCCGCCGCTCGCTTTAGCCTCGCTGTAGGCAGCAGGCGACGGGGAGGTGGACGACAAACCCATGGAGCTAAGCAAACTGGGACCAGTGTCCTTACTGGGAAGGAGGAACAGTGATGTAATCAACTGTTTGAATTAGCTTAGCTACAATTTAATAAAAAATGCAAGCAAAAAAAAAGAATTAACTAAAGAATGAAAACATGAAAGAATTTAAAGATGAAGAAAAAACAGCCAAAAGGTCTTTTTTGCTTCTGGCAGTGAAAGAACTTACAGCTGATTGGCTGTGGAGGTCAGAGATGAGGACTGGCTGCTTTGTGATTGGCTGGCACTGTTCAGGGTGGAGTCTGTTGTGCTATCTGGTACCAAAGCACTGTGACCTGCTAGAAACAGAGTTAATGGTACAAATAAATAAATGAAGAAATCTTGACAAGGCGCCGTTTAAAGACAATAGATGTCAGAGCAAAAGAAGATCTGATTAGGGATTAAAATAATCCATGATTAGCGATTAAAAAAATAAAAATCATAAAACCATTTCAGATGACATGTTACTGCTTTACGCAGCATACAGGCTGGAGGTAAATTACACTTTTAGGGTTTGTGTATTAATGAGGTAATTTCTATATGCTGTGGTGTCGCTGTTCAAAGCTATCCTGATTTTTTTTTTACCTCTTCACACCGCCTTTTTAAGTAAACCTTTAAGAAATACACACAATAGTTGGTTAGACAAATATTCAAACTGCTATATTTTATTTAAAAAATAACGTTATCTTTGTTTTGGTCTTGTATTTTAAGTTTTGGATAAAACTATGTAAAATCAGCACCATTCATTACATGCTAACTCGCAGGCTAACACACATTATTACACAGGTTACAATGTAAGTGAATGAAAAACTGTCTTAAACAAACTTTCTTAATGACATTATAATCTATTGAAATAATATTGAGATATGCAAAGCATTTTACTTTTTTTGAGGAAAAAAATAACTATTTATATTAATTGAAAATTTTATCTGAAAGACCAATAAAAAAGCTCTGAACGTCAGCTCTAAACATTTCTGCGTGTCACTCCAGAGCCTTTATTGTAATGATTCTTAAAGCAAAACAATGTAAATCTCTGCCACTAGGGGCGCTAGTCCTGTAACCTCCAGGTTTCCCTGCTTGAGAGCAACTGGCAACGCTGCACAGTGGAAAAATGAACCAGTCTGACCCCAGTAGACCAGTTTGGAAAAGTAGACTGTCAATTTATCAAGTTACCGATAAATAAAAGGCTATATTCGCCTCTCTAGATGTATGTCTGATGAGGTTAGTGTCGTGTCTGGCTTGTTGCCTTAAAAACTTTTAGCTAAGTTAGCTCTGGTGTATAAGGGGAGCTCAGACTGCTTTAAACGGCGCTGTGTGTCACATGACTCATTCAGCGACGGGTGCGGCCCGTCAGTGGAATATGTGCACATGTCAGAGGATCAGGGAATATCCATCACTTGATCTTTAAATGAATGTGTTTGGGTGGGGGTCAGATGCTCACCTGTGCTATTGCTCTGCTTCTGCCGGCTTGGCGGTTGAACGGACAGAGATGAGCTTCCTCCTCCGACTCCACTTCCTATGGATCCTAAGCTGCCTCCGTTGCTGCCGATAACTCCTAGTCCGCCTCCAGGAGCTAAGCTCCCAACGGGGCTCTGCGACCCCATAGAAGACCCCTGTCCCACTGATTGACCCGAACCCAAACCCAGAATCCCTGAGCCAACACTGCCCACAACAGGTGTCGTGCCGAGCACGCCTCCCTGCGAGGACGTCGGCCCGCCGACTGCCATGCTGCCGCTACCGATGACACCCACCCCGCTGTTGGTCGATGTGGAGCTGATTCCGCCCAGAGAGCCTGGCAAGCTGGAGCTGCCGGTGCCTGCGGCGGCCGCCTGAGCGTAGGGGGCTGGGGTGGGGCTCGACAGAAGGCCCACCACTGTGCTCAGAGATGCCGGCATCCCTGACAAGCCGGGGCTGCTGGAGATGGAGCCTTTCCCCAGAGAGGACCCCAGGTTGAGGCCGAGGCTGTTTGAGGTCGCCGTAGAACCCGACGGCGTGAAAGGCTGGGAGTTCGAGGGGAAGAGGCCCTGTGTGCTGGGTGGAGAGGACGCTGAGGAGGTGCTGTGGCTGTTGGTGGAGGAGCTGGAGTTTGAGATGGGAGCAGAAGAGCTCGCTGCGTTTTTGGCCTGCTGCTGCTGCTGCACAGAGGGGTGAGGCGGCTGCTGCGTGGCGTTACTGTAGCTGCCAGCTGAAGTGTTGGAGAAAGGACCCCCTACGGCGCTTTGATGACCGCCGCCCGCGCTGCCGATACCTCCGCCAGCAACAGAGACCAGAGAGGACGAGGTGAGCCCCGAGGCGGAGGAAGACGAGGAGGAGGAAGAGGAGGAGGAAGATAACGACAAGGAGGGATTTCCATTCTTCACTGGAGACTGAAAAAAAAAAAGTGTTTCATAATTTCTGTCCATCAAACCTGCTGCACAGCTTACTAAGTAGAAGACTTTTACAAACGGTGATTAACGCTCCAATAAAAAACTAGAACAAAAACAGGCACAGAAGTCAGAGGTCATAACACAAAACTACAGATTATGTCCACAAGTTAGCATCAATTTATCTGAAATGCAGCCATTTAACTTAAATGGGTTATTTGCAGGGTCCAGTTATTCTAATATTTAGACCGAAAACCTCAACAAATGGTAAATGGCCTGTACTTATAGAATACTTTTTTAAGTCAGAGGACACGACCAAAGCGCTTTACAACACATTCAGTCATTCACCCATACACACACACACACTGAAGGTAGCAAGCTATACTGGAGCCACAGCTGCCCTGGGGCTCACAACAAGCCATTAAATACCTAAAATTAGTCAAAGATAACACACCCTTAGAGTAGACTACATAAATCGAAGTGTCTATAAACTAACCTGACTGACTTCACTGTCTGTTGAACGTCCCCTCTTCTTGTCATCTTCTGAATTCTCCTGGAAAAGGCATCAAAATAAGGTTTCAGAACAGAACTGATTTCAGAAACAAGCCGCACAGTAAATTATGCCAAATAAAGAAAAAAACTGCATCAAACATTCAAACAAAGAGAAGATTAATCAAAGAGTTAATAAAACCTGAAAGTTATTTTGGTCTTTCTAACTCAAAAGAGAGATATTCATAAAAACAACATCTTTGAAAGAAGTGAATATTTTACATCTCCATATGGTAGAACCAATTATCTATTCAAATGTATCAAAATCAACATTTCTGGTAATTATACCAATAGAAAAAAAAAGGTTTTAATGGTTTGTTTCCATTTAACATAATACAGAAATTTGAAATTTTCTATCAAATATGAAGATTACAAGTAATGAAAATTTTAATTTTGTTTCCAAATTGTATTAATTGGAACTGAAAGACAAATATATATTTTAGCTTTAGGGCAAAAAATCTACAGACTCAAATGAGAAATGATGCTTGTTTAGTTAACTTCATTGAAGAACTAGTGATATACAATCATTCTATCATCTACAAAGAAAATCAAAGAGAGATAACGCACACGCTGTACTCTGAGTATTGGTTGTTGTATAGTAAACAGGAGGCTGTGGCCATAGCTGTGTAGTTAGAGGACAACACAAAGAGTAGTGGTGTCCTGATAAGACTTATTTGTTTCAAATATGATACTGATATTCTAGCTTTAAGTACTGACCAATATAAATTCTGACTGACACAATATCAGCATTAATACATACTTTAATACTTTAAATGCTGATTTCATTGTGTGGATTAATAGAAAAGGCTTGATCGAGTGATTATTCTTTTTAAAAAGAACAATTCTAAACAACATCAGGTATGAGAAACAACTGACTCCTTTCTTATTCACTAAAGACTTCCATAAATTTTAAACAAAAGTGGATAGAAGCAAAGTGTCTTCATACGCTTTCTAATATTTACAAGCAGGCCGATATATTCTGATATAATTTTTTTTGCCTGATATCTGACCAATATTAATATCAAAAAGAAGGGTACCGAGCATTAAGCCTTGTGGAACACCAGGAAGAATTAGTGAACTCTTTCATTGCATGGTTTCTCCACACTTCTTAATTTTAAGTCCAGCACGAAATCAGTCCAGGTTTACTGGATGTCTTTTTAATATGTTTTAATCCATATATGTGGAAAGTAGTTAAATTATTATGAGAAATGCTTTAGTGTTTGGTTGAAAAAGTAAAAAATTCACTTTTGAATCATGTAACATAGCATGAGTCACTGTTCGTAATAAACATTCATGTTACCCAAACCTGTCAAAGCAAATAAAAGTGAAACTGTTGAAATGTTAACGGAACATCTTGGACACAGTCTCTTTCACATCTCCCTTAGTCCCAGATTTAAAAAAAAATCTTTCCTCATCAGCAGTGAACAATACCACAACTCCTACACTTAAACACAGAGCTATAATAGCTACTTATGCTACACACTGAATGAGGGTGGAGAAGCAGAAGAGATGATATGGAGCCAAAACAAGAGAACAGAAGGAGCAGATGGTAAGGCACTACAATAGCAACAAAGGCAATTATCTTTGCATGTACTTTAGATGTTGATGTGCCTTGACTTTAGGTTAATGTAATAATTAACTTCATTTTCCATGAATAGCACTCTCACTTTAAAACATCTTCCAGGTCGATGACCAGATAAGCCCTATTTGGTGTCAAAAAACTTCTTAGTAACAGGTTGAAATATAATTTTTAACCTCATATCCCTGAAGGATCAAAGAATCACAGGAAGTAGGAAGGAAATAAACATATTAGTGATAATTTCCATGAGTGTAAAATAAAATCAGGAAACTGAAAATTGCTCTCACTGTAGTGCAAGTGGCAGGTGAAGGAGGAATTGGTGAGGATGAGGTGGTGGAGGTCGGTGTGCTGCTGGAGTTCTGGAAGATCTCGTCCTCCAAGTGCGAGGGTCCTGGTGGGGAGGTGGCCAGCAAAGGTTGAGCTGTAGGCAGTAGAGAACCAGAAGGTTTCAGCATTAATCGTGAACTCTTTGCTTTTGTTGTCGTAATATTTTGAAGTCCAGGTTTCATCAGGACCAGTTTAACACAGTAGCTCATAGTTTTATCCCAGGGTTTAAACAGGAATGCTTTTTAATGATCTTCTAATGCTCCTAGAAATAATTTTAATGCCATTAACAAGTACCCGTGACTCTCATATACACGGCAAAATCCTTCCACATCTTTAAAGTTGAGAGGCTGCATCCATGTCCCAAATTCCTCGTTTTCCAGCCACTTTTTTGAGATTTGAATTTTCCCCATTCTCAAGCTTTTTCTACGCCTCAAACTTCTTTTCCAAAAATACAAAATTTACAAACACGGGGAACCAGTTATATCTGATAAATCCAACGAAATTGTTTTTTATGTGTGTTTTTATTTTTAAATGAAGCATTTTAAATGCCACGATAATCAAATTGAATTAATTTAAAAAATAAAATTTTTTGGATTTTTTAATGACCGGCGTAAAGCCTGTATCCATTGCTTACTGTAGAGATCAAGGTTTTAAGAATATATATATATATATATATATATATATATATATTTATATTAATATATTCTTCTAAAGAGGAGCATCTTTAGAAGAAAAAAAATGAAACAATTATGGAGAAGAATTAGGAGAAAAACTCTTGGAAGAACAATATGTAAACATAAATATGGTATTTAAATATAGAGCAGCTGATCCTGATTGGCCTATGAAATCGAGAATAGATCCGAACCGGAACATTTAATTTCCCCCAGATTATCAAATTCATTTATGGTATTTTTTATTTGTAGTTTTGATGCCCGATCCAATGATCAGAAATCGAAGCTGCCTAATATCAGCGAAGAAAGTGCAGCCAGCTGTATGTGCTGCAGTGTGTTGGCTTTAAGTTAAATAAAGAAATAACCAGTCTGCTACTTGTGATACTGGTGATTACATTTTATTATGTAAATGATGGTGCGCGGCCGACATAATTAAACAGCAACTAACACGTCTTTGACCTGCTGCACCACTGCTATGGTAAAGTACAGTAGGTGTCCTGAGGGGATTTCCTTCTCTCAATTCGCAGCGCACCTTCTGCGGGGAGGGTCGAGCCTTTTTATACTTTTTTCCTCTTAGTTTCCCTTTTAACATATGTCTAATTTCCTATGTGCTCTGATTAGAATAAAAAGAACGACTTTGGAATAATTTTAGGATATAAACTCTGTCAGGATGACTTCCCGCTGCAGTGCTTTTTCCTCCACCTCCAACACTCAGCCCAGACCTGCACCGCAGTCAGAATCAGTTAATAAAATGAAATTGTCCTATACGACATAAGTACCTGAAGCATTTAAAACTGGGTATGTTTAAATGTGTCTTAATTATGTAACAATAATCCTCTTTCCCCCTGAAAATAGTGCATTAAACCAGATTTTTCAAACATGGATCGATCTGCTAACAATCAGCATCTGGCTCCCTTCCCATTGGCTATAGAAGCTGGGTCTAACCCCTTGCTGTCAGCTGCGTGGCCTCTGTCCCTCCGCAGCTGTTAGTCTAATGATGATCACGCTGGGTTAGTGTTGATGATGTCACCAGTGCGGCAGAAATCAAGAAAGTAAACAATGAAGGGCAATACGTAAGAAGTCAGGGCGTGTTTCGCTGTGTTGTCCGTCTGATTCCCTCCCACCATTGCTGCGCCATGTTTATCAAATGTAAACAGAGTTGTTTTGGCTTCAGATCAGAGGCACCTGGTGAGGTGTGTTAATGTCCGTACGTTGCGTTTAATGGTGTCATGTAATTTAGCAGGTCGACCCGGCTCTGGTGTTCCCACAGCATGCTGATCAGAGCCGAGGCGATTTAAATCCGGGTTGCTTGCCGAGTCGTTTGACCTGGGCAGACACGTATCACTAAACTGTTCCCACTGCCGCTAAAAGCTGATTGTTCCTGGGTTTAAACGTTTTTTTCCACCAGTGGAAAAGGAGTATATGTGAAAAGAAAATTCACAACATTATATTTGAGTTCTTGGGTTTAATATTTATATACTGGTTGAAAATACCTACGTGATCATTCATAGTAAAATTCACAAAGTTTAGGAAATTAAATTACTATTTCATCCAGACAGAACTCTGGTTATCCAGCTAATGATTTGGTAATGGAGCTGTGCTGCAAAACCCGATTTGCACAGCAGGATTTTTCACTAGTTCATTTCTTTATTTGAGAGGGGAAACAAATGGAAAATGTTTGTGTGACCATTGGCTGCATGTACCAACAGACTCCCTAATAATTTCTGTACGTACGGAATTCATCCAGGTCGAGGTCATCGTATATATAATCGTTCTCCTCGAAGTCTGGATCCTGCGATGAGTCGATGTAGTACTCGACATCATCCTTAAAAAGAAAGAATAAATGAGTGACTGATGGCTCTGTGTCGATTAAACATCAAATATCTGTGTCCCTCTTTGCAGAGAAAGAAGGAAAGCATTTAGCAGAACTCCCCGACAAACCTTGATCTTCCTTATGGCTTCGACCTGCAGTGAATCATTGTCCAGCATTCTCAGTATCGTCTCCAGCATTCGGATGTGGTACCGATGCTTCTCAATAAACTTCTTCAGCTCCTCGATCCGATCCTGCTTCTGCAGGAAAACAACAGGCCGACCTCATCGCATGCAGGACACAACTTGCTTTTAACCCTCTGCTATAAGGTGATTTTTTTCTTCTTTACATTGTGCAACAAAAGCTGCATTAATAATTTAACCCCCCCAACAGGAGAAAACAAACCACCATATGAGGAAAAAAACATTTCATAAACAAGTGAACTGTGCAGAGGCGAGAACACATGAGTGATTTAAAGCTGTGAGAGCATTAGTGACTGCTGTGAGCACTTCACAGCCTAATGCATCAGAAAGCAGGCAGAGGGCCACTTCCTGATTTCAATATTTCATTCTTCAAGTGATTCACTGTTAATTCATACATGCTCTGATGGTTGGAGAACACGCACAGCTTTAATTGTCCTACTTTGGACAGAACACGACACACATGGTCAAGTGTGGAAAGCATGCAACTTTATTTCTAAAGGAGCAAAACAAACAGCTGACCAAAGTGCTGTATCAAACATGTAAGATAGAGATGAGGAAAATAAACTTTAAAACAGCCATAAGCTGTTTCATAGCAGCAATAAAAACGTGAAATATTGTAGTCAGGTAGTAAGAAAGAGTAAACGATAAAGACTGGGATGTTAACTGACTCTGGTTTACAAGCTCAGGAGATTAATTGTTGCTTTAATTGAAATTTAAAACAATGACTGAACCCGCTGGACCTCCAGCAGGTCTTAGGAGCCGGAACTTCAAAGGCTCCGTCTTTCCTGGATTTATANATTTACTTTTGTGTGTTTTTGTCAGGCAGAAATTTATTTATACCCCCTGAGGGTGTAAGAGGTTAAGGATTGCATGTTGGGGTCGTTTAGACATTAATAACAAATAAAAGCCTTGTGCTCTCATAAAGAGTTCAGCACCTTGAGGTATTGCACAATGTTTCCGGCTCAAAGTTAGGACAAAGTTTTAGCAGCTAATCTGCACAGAGCAGCTTTTCTTTTTAACTAATTTGCTGGAAATCTCTCAAGGTCATGAAATGGGAAGACAACATGGATGGGAAGAGGTGGCTTTGTTTTGAAGACAAGTGTTTTTCTTTAAGGTTAGATGAAAACAACTATACTTTAACAGAAATGCGTTTCTAAAGGCATTGTTTTGGTATTTATTTGTGTATAATTGACATTAAAGGTTTTTTAAAAAAAGCAGGATAAAGGAGCTTTAACTATAATCTAAAAAGAGCTTTAATCATCCAGTCATGGTGATAGAAAGTATGACGTTTGACATCTGCCCTAATGTAAAGAAAAAGGATTTAACGATTTAACCCAAACGCAGACAGGAGAGAGAAGGTTAAGGGATCCTAACTGGCTAAATGGATGATAATAAAACAGGATAGGTGTGTCTGTTACTGGGCAGCTCTTGGAGGAGTTCAGGATAACCAAACTTTCTAATTAGTTTTATCTCAGCAGAGACATACAGCAGGTCACTGCCATCAATCCGTTTGAGACAGACTAAAGCACTGAGTTTGTTCGTTAGATATTCTAGTTTGCTGCACAAATTTTTTAATCAAGGACAAAATTTAAAAAATGATAAAAATGATGAGACAAAGGCTTAAAGTTAAGAAATGCATATTTTCCCCCTCAGATTACTACTGTACTGGGGGAAAAAAATTAATTTCATACTCTTCTAAAATGTAGATGAACCTTCGAAATCAGAACCAGACCAGAACCATAACAAAGCGTTTCAGAAAGGAAAGTTCAAACCATTAAAATGTCCTTGAAGCTTAAAACCTTCAAACACAAAATAGTTTCAGGTAAACCTGCTAAAAATGATACAAATAAAATGAAAACATTGTATTTGAAGAGGTGCTAGAGGACAGAAAGAGACCATCACTGCAAAAATGATCTAAAAATGAGACAAACATTTCTTAAAATGAATGTTTAACCTTAATTTGAGTAGGTAATTAATATGATCTGCCAATGGAATTAGCATTTCTACCCTTAAAATAAGATAATTAGATATTATGCACTTGAAAGAAGAGACAGTGTTTTTTTTTTTTTTATTATTATTTAAAATGTAAATTATCTTATTCCATTGGCAAAGTGTCTCGTGTACATCCACAGTTCAAGAAAAATGTGCTTATTTTAAGAAAAATTAGATTTATATTTTTTGCAGCGTAATAGTTTACTCAATGTTGTTTCATTCGAACCTTTAGAAACCCAATTATAACCCAAATAAAAGACAAGAAAAAAGAAGACGCCACCTTAAAAAGCCACCAAACCCAAAATAAAAAAGCTTCCAAACTGAATCACAAACTTTAAACTGTAGACCTTGAGGGCCGACGCCCTTTAACCTGTAGATGTTTCTCTGTTCCAACACCTGAATCAAACAATCAGGCCTGATCAGAACAATCCTTTGGATTTAACTGGTTTGGATCGCATTGAAACCTGATGGACTCCAGCCTGGAGGCCCAGAGTCTGACGCCTGATGTCTACCAGCCGAACAAAGTCAGCCTTTGGTTTTATTTACAGAACAACTTGGATTGAATTGAAGGATTTATAGTTAGAAAGTTTAAACCGTCATGAGCAGATGTTTATTTACAAGATCCAGGGTGATTTATGAAAGTTGATGTACTTCTATATACGAGGGATTTTACACATTACTTTATTTAAATCACTTATTGTCTGTCCAAATCTTTAACACTAAACAGAAGAGTATGCGGAAATATAAAACTAGGCATAATAGATGTGTTACAGCTTTGTAGAGCGATGAAGCATCTCTGAGAGCAGATCATCGTCTTTTAACCCTTTAAAACATCGACGGCACAGATGGACGCACCAGCAGTTACTATTAACACCATTTTAACAACAATAATAGGACAATTACTCATTACTAAAATAATCACAGCAACTAAAGCTAAGGGAGCCTGGCCTTTAGATTCATTCATTAGTGTCACATTTTATAAAAACATACTTTGGTATCTGCTGTTTTCTTATTCATACCTTTAATCAACAACACTAACGTTGAAGCTAACCATCTGTCTGTTTGCTTCTTATATTACAAGCTAAAGATTAATAGACTTTAATTGTTGTTTATCTGACAGGTTTTGGTTAAGAAATTGGAGATGTGCAGCTTAAAGAGCCTTCATTAAGAAGCGTTGATGTTTATTTTCCTTCTGTGTCTTTAAAAGGTGGATGTCATTGAACTGTTGTTCAGTAAAGGATCAATTCTAATCAGAACAGAAGAACTCATTGACTTCATCCTTTGTCTTCTAGCCAACTGCACAAGAAAAAAAAAAAAGATAAATCCTTCTGGTTCTCCTTTTTTAAACTATCTCTGCACAAACTTTCCTCACAGGAAAAAGGAGGAAGGACTTTTAGAGAACCTCATGTCTGCGGCACTTTTTCCATCTCACTGTCATGACAAATCAACTCTATTATGGAGAAGACGCATTAAATCTTAATTCAGAACCTGTAAGTTCTCAGAAATGACTGCAGAAGGTTTTCTATAAATGACGTCCTTGGAAAAGCTTGGTCAATGAGGTTATCCTCGTTGGCCAGAAACAGAAGATTAAAGCGGGGCTCACTATCTGACCTCTCTGCCAAAGAAGACAGAGAGATGAAAGCGGAGGAGCTGTAGGGATGACAAGCCAACAGATCTGGGAGCAGAAATGTGAGGAAGAAAAAAAACGGAATCAGAAAGCAGAGCGGACTGACCTCCTTGTCTCCTTTCTTCTTCCTGGTCTGGACTGAAAGAGACTCCACCTCGCTCTCAAACTGGTCCACCTGCATGTTCAACGTGTCTATCGTGTTCTGAGATAAAAGAGGAGAAAAAGATCGAATAAGAGCAAAGTTCACACACAAAAAACAAAAAATTCAAAAAGTGGAAAATTATTTTAAAGTCTGGCCACTTTATGCCTTCAAATTTATCATTAAAGTTTATATTATTAGTTGTCTTTTATCTAAAAAAAAAAATCATAAAATGGTATATAGTATTATATAGCACATGAATGCATTATAAATTTAAAAAATAAATTTCAATACAAACATTAATCAAATCAATCCTTAACTAGGATGTAAACAAGGGATTTTGTTAATTTATTTCATAATAAGCTGCTTTGTTTTTGACTTGTTTTGTTCGATTTTACTAAAAGCTTTTTGTTTAAATTTCTTCCAGTGTTGATTTTCTCAACCTCATTTTCATCCTCATGTTTTATTCAGACACACTGGTGGTAAAATGTTCCCTAATGAGCAAAGTTGAACTTTTTATCTGATGCTGAGGAGATATTAAAATGTCAATTGTTAAACTTCATCTCCTGTTCTTTACTCCAGCAGTTTGGAGGAGAGAAATCATACATCGCTCCGGTCTCTTCCTCTGGAAGCTCACCGTTAGCCACGTGCCGACCTCCTCCTTCTCCTTCTGCGCCGGGTCCACCTTCTGGATCAGGCCGAGTCCTTCTTTCGAGTACGCTTTCGTCTTGGTTTCTCTTTCAACTATTTTAAAGCGCTCCATTTGCTGCAAGTAGATTCAAACAGAAAGTATAAGATATAACTTTTAAAGGAAAAGACTGAAGGTTACACCTTAAAAAAACTGTATTGAAGCTTGTTTTGGATGAAGTCGCTTCATAATAATGATGCTGGATCTGATTTGCATTTCATCTAAAAAACATCTGAAACCAGCCTTTATTATACATAAAGTTGTTCTTTATGTTTTTCAACATCTTTGGATTCTTTGTCTTTTTTGTCTGATTTGTTGCTGAACTTAAATATGAGGAACATGTTCTTTAAGCCTCTGTAAGCTGGATATGATAGCAGCTCAAATTAATTATTATTACTTTTTTAGGCAGCTCATTAAAACCAGATGGACACAGATATCTTATTCTGTTTAAATCAAATAGGATAATAAATAATATTTTTATACCGGTAAGGTGATTCCTAAAGTGATATTGGTTATAAACTTGTTGATTTGGCATGGTTTGGAAAGCATCCCAGTTACACCTCCTCATGCAGCTCATATCTCAGTGACCATACAGTAACAGCTTTTTACTCAATAAAGTCACTGTTAATAAATTCATCATGTGTCAGTTTTAGCCAATGAAACCATCAGCGTACTAATCTAGCAGCTCTGGGTCAAATGAGACAGATGGATCCTCGCTGAGCTGTTGTTTTCCCTCAGTGTGTTTCTTAGCAGCAGGTGTCTCACATGTTCTGAATAGTTCTAATTAAAAGGCAAATGAGACCCTGATGCCTGATGGGCATCAAAGCAGTGACAAAAAAAACGTCCCCGTGTTAAAATAAACATATTTATGGAGCGGATTTTTAATCCAAATAGGGCTGCAACTGACAAACTTTTTGCATATTGATGAATCTGTCTATTTTATGTTATTTTGATTAATCAATTATTAATCTGATAGCCAATCGGATTGCTTAAAGTTGATTCTTTTATGAGATTAAACCAGGTGAAAGGAGCTCTGGATAGAGCATGACAGATGAAAACATTTTATCTTAAATGCAAAATGTTAATTTTTTTTTTCCAATTTTGATATAATTATAAATATAAGTGTGTGCTCTGTCACACTCTCTGTACTCCAATTAATTGATTTAGTTGATTTAGATTATTATGTTAATAAATAATTAAGTATGATTAAATCATTTAATTGTTTCAGTCCTAAATCAAATTTATATTGTTTAGGTGAATTAGTCACATGCCTGTTTCTAAGGTCAATAAAAATGATCCATTAGATCCCTAATGATTAGCTTAAAAATAATAAACAGATGCAAAAAATCCCACCTAATATTCAGCTCTGCTTTCACTGCAACCTGATTACAGTGAAAAAAGTTTTTTTCTTCTAGGAAGAGCTGTGATCAGTTCATGATGCTCTGAAAACAAAGCTTTCCATCTTATTTGATCAAAATACAAAACATTAACAGTGACTCTAAGCTCCTGAAACAGTCCCTGGTTATTAATGCAGCAGTGCTGAGCAGTTTCAGATCTTTGTTTGTCTTACAAGACGTTGATTTGAGCTGAAGCATCAATCAGAAGCAGAGGATGTGGCCCTCGGCCACGAAAACAGCTGCTTGTAAAACGTTGAGATAATGGAGAGATTTTCCAATCATGGAAGGAATGAAGCGTTTGGTATCTGAAGGCTTCAGCTGCAGAACAAATATCAACTCCAGCCCTCTTCACAAAACGATAGAATATGAAGCAAGAGGGAATTACATTTAATTATATATTGCACTTTAAAAAATAAAGATTCCCTATAAGCAAAATCATATATTTAACTTAAAACAAAGAAAGATTAAATACCAGAAAGGTGCAGCTTTCATTTACTAATCTGGTCATTTTAATACTGGCTACACTTGCAAGGGGAATTTAATGACATCTTATATTCTAACATCATATTAATGTGTTGATTTAGTTTTATTCTTCACTGCAACAAAAGTGGAGGAGTCATCATCCTCGCCTCGCTCTTGTCGGTTCCTACTCACCGTTTCTATGAGTTTGCGGTTCTCTATTAGCTGCCTTTTGTCTTTGATCTCGTTGGATGCCACCCACGTTTTAATCTGGTCTCGAAGGCGCTGCGGGACCAGAGAGGAAGAAGATGAAGGGAAGGAAGGGGGAGATACAAACACATCAGTGAACTTGGTAATACATGCTGGGACTCGTCTTTGACAGTCATGGAAGGTGAGGCTGATGCCGGCTTGGCTTGAAATTTGGTCCTCATGACAACGGCGACTTACATGACACGCAGAAAATCTATATTTTATGCTGCGGGAAATGAAATTGGACCCAGTTAAACACCCGTATCCCTGAGAACATCAGCGAAATTTCTCAGCCTGGTCGTCTGGTTTTTATGGTGGCAAGTTAATCACCTTTGTTTGGATTCAAATTATGACCTTTTATACCAAGTTTAGTTTCAGGACAGAATATAGAGGACAAATAACTTTGATTTTTTATTTTATTTTTTTCAGTTAGTGATTTTTGTTAACAAAAACATTAGAACCAATGTATTTGGTGTCATTTTTTGACATTTTATGTCACTGACAAAAATTAGCTTTTATAGCCATGAGTGCTTTTTAGAGGAAAAGCACTCATGGCTCTCATAGCTTTACAAAAATGTTAAAAGTTTGTCTAAATCCAACTTTTCAGAGACTGAAAATTTAAAGCAAATGAAGCTCAGTCAAGTAGAATAGACAGTCTGGAAAGAGGAATTTGGATAATTTGCTCTGACTCGTTCACTTCTTTCAAATTATCGTCTCCATACATGGACTAAAGCTGAAGATGGGAAACGATCCCAGCACATCGTCAAAATAACTGATTTATGGTGATCATAGAGCAGAGGTCCTGGATTAATGGACCAGGGTCCGGATCCAGACCCACCTGCTGGCTAATCTAGACCCAACCAGATTTAAAACATTTAAAAATTACTGCATGCTGTCCGACGACATTGTCTAACTGGGATTGCTCTGCTTCTCCTGTTAATATGGTAAAGAACCAGGCTGCCCGTCATATAAATTAGCCAAAGAGCTGTGTCTGTCAGGGCTGCTGCTGCTGCTACTTTAAGACACAGCAGTGTCAAGTAGCAATGGGAGTGAAGGAGAAGACGAGGAGAAAACGAAAGCAGAGAAAGTGTGGGCTGCTGGTAGAACCGCGGTGTGATGGTGAAAGAAAAGGGAAACGGCATACTTAAAGATGGCCCTGCACATTTTAGGTATTGGCTCAACCTACTGCTGTGAAGCAGGATTCTCCACCATGAACATAATCAAAAATAAATATGGATCCAAGCTCACGAATGAGCACCTTGATATGTGCTTGAGAATGGCTTTGTCTCCATTCAAACCCAGGTTTAAAGCCTTGCAGGGCAGCCTGAAGCCTACTGCTCTCATCAAGCCATAAATAAATAAATAAATGAAAACGGTCAGTTCGGTTGTTTCATAAAAGATGTGAAAGTCAGGAAATTGTCTATTTACTAAACTGTGAAAGATTATCTTCTCCATTTCAAAAAGCACTTTAGATTTTAAAATGGAAAAACCTTTTTTTATGTTATTTTTTTATTTAAAAAGTCAATGCATAACATGGATGCATAAACACCTGCATTTTAATTCAGCGTTAAATGCTATTTAAAGTAATGGATTATAATTAAAAATGTCTCTGGACCTTAACTGGTTGTTGATTTTCTTTATTCGGACCACGCAGATTTTTAATTAGTGACCCCTGACATTGAGGGTACATGCAGATGATGTCATCAACCAAACCTTCAGCTAAGATAACCAACTCCTCAACTTTTTGTATTATGACAGCAGAACTGAATAATATGTTTAAAATATGATTTTCAATTTTCAATAACATTTTCTACTGGATGCAGATGCTATCCTGAGCTTCCCTCTCTAAAGCCAACAGTAATAATGTTGGTTTTTATTAAACTGACAAAAAGTCACATCCATACTTTTCATCATCAATTTTTTTAACCATAAAATAATGTGATAAACTTAAGTCTATAACAATTATCCTGCCATGTGTTGGACTGGAAATGTGACCCACTAAGGTGTTTTATTTGCTATTCTTCTATAAAGGACAGTCTGGTTGAATTTACAGCAGAGATGTTCACCTCTACTGCTCTTTCAGAGCCACCAAAGCCCTTTGGATGGTCACCATCATTAAAGCTCCACTTGTTTCAGAAAAATAACCACGTCTTGGTATATTTACAGTTGATCTTTATTATTACCTTCCTTAACCCTCCAGATTTAACTCAGGTCTGACTGCTGTCTTCTTCAGTCTTCATCAAGCTCTTTGCTCACTAATGTCTTCCAAATAAACCTTCCAGGGCTTTTACTCAACAAATATATTCATACTGAAGGTAAATAACCATCTAATGACTAAACAGGAGACCTGTGAAGGAAAACGGTTGGACAGTATTTTTATTTTATGGTATGGGATTAAAGAGGTTGCTTTTTTCTATAAAAGAAGCTAAAACCAGGACATTTGTTTTTGGAAAAACATGACATTTTCTTTTATGATGATGATACAACGATAAAATGATTATGGAGGGCACAAAAACAAGTTATCGCCAGCTGCTAGATGTTTGCATTCCAGGCTGATAATGGAAAACTGAGCACAAAATCCTGAAAAGCAGATTTTTATAGCGAGGGAAGCAGCAGACGACGTATTGACACAGGTGTCCAGAATAGCTTCCGTCTCTCGTTGGTAGCGGGACGGACTCACATTAAAGTGACATAATGAGAAAAATGAAGACAAAAAAAAAACAAAACAGTAGGATAAATGAAAACAGAAATGAAGTCAGAATCATGTTTTACATAATTTGTTCCTAAAAAATGCGACCAGCGCCCCGCTTATTTCATACAGGTGGAAGTGTGGTGATTCTATCACTGACTAACAGTGTTTGTTTGTTTGTACACATGACCGCGCCGGACCTTTTGGAGCTGTGATGACAAAGCTTATGACAACATGTGGGCGGCTGTGAAAGCAGAGAGGTGCTGCAGTTTCCGTATGCCAGCATGTGCAGCTTGCAGGACATTTGGAAACAAAACCAGTGGAGCACAAGTTTCCAGAGCCAGACTGCCTTCTGATGCCACGTTTTACTTTCCTGCAGGCTGAGCGCCTCCCAGGTACCCTTCAATTACCAAACTAATTCAACAGTCAAAACAAACAACTCCACAAAAGGTTGAAGTTTCAATTAATGTGAGGAAAAACCCAACATTTAAGAACTGAGAGGAAAAAGGTGAATGTTTCAGTCAAAAAGAGAATCTGAATTCTGGTGTTAAAAGAATTTTTGGTTTGCTCATATCAAGATTTTAAAAACCTTTACCAACTAAACCTTCAGAAACTACGGAAGAGGATTAGGGCCACTGAAAAAAAAAAGTTTAATGATTTTTAAATTTTATTTCAGTTTAATATGGGAAAAAAGTCAGAATTCTGACTTTTTTCTCAGAATTCTGACTTTAAATCTCAGAATTCTGACTTTTAATCTCAGAATTTTTACTTTTTTCTCAGAATTCTTTGCCTAATTCCGTCATTTTCCACCAATGTGTCACTGGCCACCTCAAACAACTCACATCTTTGTCAGTGAAGCTGAGTGCTCCACATCTCTTCCTTCATGGTGCCCATCTACATTAAGATCCAAAATTCTGAGATTAAAGTCAGAATTCTGAGAAAAAAAAGTCAGAATTCTGACCTTTTTCCCGTATTAAACTGAAATGAAAT